CCACCCCATCCACAAGGTCGTTCCACGGGTGCTCGTCGCGTCACTTGGTCCTGCACATGTCTAGGCCCCATGTCTTGGCGGTGGCCTCCGCTATCGCCCTGCGCGTGCTGACAAGATTCTCATGCCCCCCCGCAGCAAAGGCCCCCATCCGCAAGGCACTCGGTGAGAAGGCTGCCCGTCGCGATGGTAAGGGGGGCCCCACCCCTGCAAGCTCCGCGTAGGTGCTGGATTGGGCCCCCCGGCCCCCCTCTCAACGACTCTGGGAGCGCGCGCGCTACCTGCCCCCAAACAGATGGCACCCAAGAGCGCAATCCCTCCCTCGCCCTCCCCAACCAGCAGCCCAGCTGCACGCTGTGTCCCCCCCCTGCGGCGCTGAGCCGTCTGAGATGACGTGGGGGCGTCTCGGCCGCGTGCCCCTGTGAGGTGCTACCCTCAGCGCAATGCGAGAGTCGTCGTGCAGCTCTGCATCTAAGGAGACTTGACATCATAGCAAATCTGGATCCCGGCTGCCACCCTCTTCGCCGCTTCAAGGGCGCCCCCCGGGGGGTGGGGGGGCGACAACTCCGCTCGGGCAGCGCGGCAGCGTCGGCGCCCCCCCGCCCGTATCCCGCCCGAGGCGCAACCTCGGCCCCCCCAGCCCTACGGGGCGCATGGCGCCGATCATTCGCGGCGAAATCTCCCCGCGCCCGCCCTGCCGCGCACTCGCGAGGGGCCAAGCGGCAAGCGCGCGCCCTAGCAATCTCTGGCCCGCCCGGCCCTAGTGCACTAAAAATGCAGATGGCGACAGGCTCGCCTCGGCTCGACTCGCTGTAGCATGGCGGCCTGGGCGGCTGGGCGGCGGCAGCACTGCTTGCTGCCGCGTCGCTGCCGACGCCTGCGAGCTGGTCGCGGGCGCCAGATGCAATGGCGTCTGGCTCGCCAGTGCACCCGACATGTTCTACCACCATCCAGTCCGCTGCCGCGCCATCTCCTCCCTGGGGCCTCTCGCCCCGGGAGACGCGCCAGAAGTCAGATCCCGGCGACGGCGGCGTGGGCGCGACCCCCCAGCCGCCAGAACACGCTCCAAGTTCTGCGGCTGGAAACCCCCTTAACCCCCATCGCACAAGGTCCAAGGCTCCAAGGAACGTGAGTAGGTGAGACGCGAAATACTGAGCTCAAATTGCCTTGCCTCTAGCCTGGGCTCTGCCGCGCAGCCCTGTCCGCCTGCGCGGCTGGGACTGGGCGCGCCCCCGCCCCCGCCCCCCGCCCGACCTCCACCCCGCGGACTCCCATCCTCATGCAGGCAGCCCGTGGCCCCCCCCCCTCTCGACGACATGCTGGAGGGTTCGGTGGGGATCCGCGCTGGTCAGGGTGAGCCGAGGCCCCCTGCGGGCTATCCTGCGTCGAGCAGGTCTCATTGCTGGCTTCCTCCCCGCCGAACGGGCCCGAGTTCCGGGGTCCTGGGGGGCGCGACGACGAGCGGCCAGGATAGGCCCACTGGGCCGCGCCTCCAGAAACTTCCGGCGCAGGCGAGGAAACCATTTCAAAACCTGGCTGGCGCTGTGCTTGCCACCGAGCCTCGGAGCTCAGGGCGTGCACTCTACGCCTCTGCGGCAGCTCGGTTTGGACCCGAGTGGCGCCCCGCCCCACCCCCACGTCCGACCCTCCCCCCCGCGGACTCCCCTCCCAGTGCAAGCTGGCCGTGGCCCCCCCCTCTTAGCAAAATTCTAAAGGGTTCGGTGGGCCGCCGCAGAGGTCCGGTCGAGGGGCCCTTTGGGGCCGCTCCTGCGCCGACCTGCCGTCGACACTCGTCACCCCCCGCCCGCGCGGTCCGAGGCCCAGGGCCGCGATGGGGGTCGGAGACGCAATGTCGGACAACTCCCAGTGGGCCGCCTGCCCGCGAGCAGTTGGCCCAGTTGAGGAAGCGCCTGAACCTGAGGATAGCCTGGCAACGCCCCTGCCCGCGATCCACGCACGCGCGGCTGCCCCGCCACTGCCGCGGCCGCCGCCCGAGCCGGCGCCAATCGGCGCCCCCGCCCTACGCCCGCGCGCGGAGATGCCTGGGCAGGGGCCCCCGGGGGCCGCGGCAGCAGACGCGGGCCGGCAGCCTCGCTTGCCTTAAAAACCAACGCGCTTTTGTTGGAGGGTGCGCCGCTGGATCTCCCCGAGGGCACCCCCCCCCCCCTTTCCCCGATCCGTCGTCGGGGACCCCCCCCTCCTCCTGTCCCGATCCGTCGGCGGGGACCCCCCTCCCCCCTCGCCCTTTCCCGATCCGTCGTCGGGGAACCCCCTTCCCCCCTTCCCCCTTTCAACGGGGGGGGGTCCGAACCCCTCCTCCCCCCCCCCCTTGGCCGCCAAATGCGAACTCCCCCCGCCCCCCCCCCTTCGCCGCGGCGCCCCTGGGCTCCGGGCCCGACCCCTGCCGCCCCCAACGCCAATCCTCACCCTTGCCCTAGACCCCAGCCCCAACCCCGAACACTAATCCTAGCCCCAAGCAGTACTCACCTCTCATTACGCATTACTCACAACCCACTGCTCACTACTCGCTACTCACTACTCAATTCTCACTTCTCACTACTCACGACTCACTACTCACTACCCACTACTCACTACCCACTACCCACTACGCACTACTCCCCACTCCCTACTCACTACGCATTACTCACTACTCACTACGCACTACTCACACTTCAGTACTCACTACTCACTGCCCACAACTCACTACTCACTATCCACTACTCGCTACTCCCTACTCACCACACAGTACTCACTACTCACTACTCACTACTCGCTATTCCCTACACCCTACTCGCTACCCAATACGCAACACTTACTGCCCACTAATCACTACGCGCTACGCTCCCACTACTAACTACTCATTACTCCCTACTCACTACTCCCAACTCACTACTCACTACTCACTACCCAGTACTCAATGCTCAGTACTCACTAAACACGACTCACTGTCCATTACTCACTACTCACTAAGCACTACTCACTATTCACTAGCCACTATTCACTACTCACTTCTGAGTACGCACCGTTCACTACTCACTACCCACTGCCTACAACTCACTACTCACTATGCGCTGCTCGCTACTCGCTACTCCCTACTCCTTAAACTCACGGCTCACTGCTCACTACTCACTACTCGCTAATCGCTACTCCCTGCTCGATAAATAGTCACTAGTCACAAGTCGCTACGCTACTGACTACTCACTATTCAGTACTCACTACCCACTGCTCACGACTCACTACCCACTCCTCACTATTCACTACTCACTACGCAGTAATGAATCACTACCCACTACGCACTACTCACTATCCACTACTCCCTACTCCCTACTCCCTACTCACTAGTCGCTGGTTACAAGTCACCTCTCCCTTCTCACTCTTCAGCACTCACTACTCACAACTCACGACTCACGACTCACTACTTACATGACACTACTCGCTACTCCCTACGCACTACCCACTGCCCAATACTCAATACCACCTTCTCACTTCTCACTACTCACTTCTCACTACTCACTACTCACTACTCACCACTCCCTGCTCCCTACTCCCTACTCGCTACCCACTGCTCACTATCACAGCTCGCTACTCCCTACTCGCTACTCACTACTGACTACTCCCCTCACTATCCACTACTCACAATGCCCTTTTCGCGACTCACTATTCACGACTCGCTGCTCCCTACTCGGTACTCACTACTCACTACTCACTACACACTGCGCACTACTCACACCTCACTATCCCGAAGTCAGACAGACCCCCCCTTGCGGGAGAGGTCCTCTCCGGGCTCCCTGTTCGGCGCAAAGGAAGGGAGGGGGGGAGTTCGACCCCCCCCTTTCCAGCGCCAATGGGGGGGGGGGGGGGGGGGCGGAAGCCCCTCCCCGCCGCCGCTTCGAGGGGCGCGCGCGGGGGGGGGGGTCGGACATCTCGGCCCCTTTGAAGGGGGGGGAAGGGGGGGATTCGGACCCCCCCCCCCCCCCCTTGTCAACTGCAGGGCGATCCAGTGGCGCGCTTTCTCTTTGTTGACCGCGCCCCCGGAGCCCACGGGGCACGGGCCAGAGGCCGCGCCAGAGGCCCACTAGGCTAGCAGGCGCGGGGAGAAAAGACCAAGGACAGAAAACGTGGCTGATCAACGACTAGACTGGCAGCTACCCTATTGCTCATCCCCGTCGGCGAACTTGCCGTCGGAAAGCGCTCCCAGGTGCTCGACGCGGCTGTCGTGCTCGGCCTTGGCCCTGGCCATGCGCTGCCGTGCTCGAACTGCGTGTCGCGCTTGTCTATCAGCTGGCGCCCCCGATACCGGCCTTCCCCGCGCCCCGAGTCGCGCGCGCGCTCCTCCGAGCTGCAGCTGAGCACTCCGTCGTCCGCGGAGCTGTCCACCGATGAGGAGCCATCCCCTCCTCACCGTGGACACTGACCGTAGGACTGCATACGAATTCAACCACCTCCTCGAGCTGGCCCCCCCAACTCACGCTTCTCCCGAGCCAGCCGCGCGGCTGTTTGGCACCGAGGTCCGACCCAGCCCCCTGCCTTCCTTCCTCGGCGCTGAGCGGATCTCGCACGTGAACCCAGCGTCGGCCTCGTCTATCTTCTTGTCTGCCCTCTGCACCTGGCTGTCGGACATCCCCTCCTCCTCGATGTTGGCCGTAGCGCTCTCCCTAGGCGGGCATAGATACGGGCCCTCCTTTCTGTCGTACCCGCTGGGCATCGCCAGCGTCTGAGAGATCGGACTCGGCTCCATCGGCACTGGCGTCTCCTCCGCCGTCGCAGGCATCGGCCGCTGGGGGGCGCGCTGGCGATGTCGGCGAGCACCTCGCCCCCGACGGTGCGGGGCGCCCGCCCACAGGCGTCCTCTGCGCTGGCGGCTGCGTCGAGTCCACATGCAACGGGCTCTTCGACGGCGCATTCGGCGTCGCGGCTGCCCCCGCCGCCCCCGTGGTTGGCGTCCTGGGCGCTGGCGTCGCCGCCCGAGCTCCCGTCGGCATCGACCGTGCGGGGCCCGCCACAGCCGCCGCCGCTGCCGCTGCAGCCGCCTCTCGCATCGCCATCTCCCTCCGCAGCGCCTCTTCCTTCACCTCCGCGTGGAACAGCGCCTGCGCATGCGCCGCCTCCGCCGCGCCGCCAGCATGCTGCATGCCGCCCATCTGCGGCGGCCTCGGAGGGAACGCTGCCGCCTGCTGCCCACCTGGCGGCTGCGGCTGCGCCCCACTGGCCGACTGAAACCCCGTCGCCTGCATCACGTACATAATCTGCTTGTCCTGCTGCTTCATCCTCGCAATCATCTGCTGCATCATGGCCGTCATGAGATCTGGCGCAGCACCAGACGCTGCCGCATTGCCGGGTTGCTGCCGCTGCTGCTGGCCCTGCGCTGAGGGACGCTGCTGCTGCTGCGGCTGCCACCCACCACCACCGCCACTGACTCCCATGTTCACGTCCTTCGCGTGGTCCTCGGCCTCTTCCTCCCTGCGCTGCTCCTCGAGCTCCGTGATGTACTCTTTCAGACGGCCCAGCTCCTCCAGGATCTCGTTCTCCTGCTCCTGGAATGTCGCCACTCTCGCCCTCGTATTCTTCAGTATCTCGCCTGCCCTGTCGCGCTTGGCTCTAATCTCCGCCAACTGCATCTCTGTGGGCATTGTGGCGTCCATCATGCACTTCAGCACCTGCAGCTTCAGGTCGCACCGGTCGGCGTCCTCGTGCTCGTTCGCCCTCCTCGCGGTCATCGACAACTTCGCGACCTCCTGCATATTGCGCCTTGTCTCGTCCTGGAACCTCTTCTGCGCCACCACGTCCCCCGTTGGTGGCTCCTTGCTCGCGTCGTACTCCATCGCCACCAGGCTCGTCATCGGGACAATGCGGGCGACGTGCTGTTTCGTCTCTTTGTCGGGTTTCGGCTTCTCCCTGCGGCGGCTCTCGCTCCGAGCCCTCGCACGGCACTGAGCTTCCGCCCTCTGCTGCTGCGGC